TAGAGATGTCCTGTTCCGATATCGCAGCTTTATTACTGCAATGCACCATGTGTTGGGCTGAGTCAGGCAGCACTGACGTGGTTACAGTCTCCCTGGGGTCCCTGTGCTCTGGGGCAGCTCCTGGATCTCTGGGACTTGGAGCTCCTTCCATCTCCTACACATTTTGGGGGGCAGATCTGTGGCCCCTCACACTCTCTAATGGACGCTCCTATAGAAAAACCTTATATATACAAGCATGTGTACACACACAGGTGCTCACATGGTGCTCTCATAATTATGGAATTGGGCATTTTCAACATATGTCTTAAGGCTGTGGTTGGCACTAAATGCACCATGATTTATTATCGTGTGATTGTTCAGTAAAACAATGTAGATTTTAAATTTCCTCATCAGGCTGACGCAGTGATAGTTTGCTCTTGTATTGTTGTGTGTCCCTTTTCTGCAAGTCTAGAAGCAGACTCTTGCTCGTCATTGATTGGTTATTTTTGGGGCCTTGGGAGTGAGCACATTCAACGGCACTTGGCAGGGGGATTTCTCAGCCTCCTCCCGAGTGCCGGTGCCCACTTCCAATTTTAAATTGCACTTGCACCCACACCGAGGGCTGTGGGTGCAAGTGGGGTGGTGCGGTGGCATCCACTGGCATAGGCCAGACAATGCCCGCACTGCCCGCTCACCACAGCCATGGAATACACCTCATCAAATCAATTTCCCTCTGGGATTAATAAAGTATTTTTGAATTGAATTGAATCAACACTCAACACTGTAATGGAGCAGGCGGAGGGAGACTAGGAGTCTTAGCACACCTCTTGTTGCTTGGCTTCCTGGGGCTGGAGGCTAGGAGGGAGATCTGGCCATCTGGTTGGGGTCTGGGGTGGTGGGTTGCTGTGCTCAGCGTTGGGCGGGGGAGCCTGCTCAACAGCACCCCAGCAGAAAGGGTCAAACTCTGGTTACCGGTGATGGTTGTACCCAATGTGCAGCAGTACCGGGACCAGAGTGAATAGGGTGTGTATGGGGAGCATGAGTGGGTATCTGGCGTGCACTTTTGTAAGTCTTTGGTTGTATGTGCATATGTGAGCATGAGGGAGGGAGTGTGTGACTGTGTTTGTGTATGACTGTATATGTCAGGTGGGGCCTTTGACTCCTCCCCTCTCCTGGGACTTCTTTTGATGATATAGATCTTTGTCTCCCCTGCCACACCTGGTGTGGGATGTGGTGCCTTGGTCTGCCTGAATGTTCGTGGCTCCCAGGTCAGGGGGTTTAAAATTTTTGGTGTCTGCCTGATCAATCCCGGTGGCTGCCTGGTGGGGTCTGGGTCCCTAGGCTCTGCTGGGTCCCCGGCGGGGGTGGTCGCCCCTGGTTCCCGGGTCGCTGGGTCCTGGGCTCGGCCGGCTAGGGGGTGGGAGGCTGCGGGCGGGCCTGTGGGCTTGCCGCTGATATCTCCCGGGGCTCTGCCGGCTCCTGGTTGTGGCCCCCCAGGGCGATCCTCTATGCCTCTCGAGGGGGGCGGGGGCCTTTCTGGTTGCAGTCTCTTTGGGATTCCTGTTTTCTGGGGCAGCGCCTGAATCTCTGGGACTTGGAGCTCCCCCCGTCTCCTACACATCTTTGGGGGGTGGATCTGTGGTCCATCACTCTCTCTGTTGGACGCTCCTATAGAGAAACCTTACATAAACAAGCGTGTGTACACACACATGTGGTCACAGGGTGCTCTCAAAAGTATGGGCTTGGGCACATTCAACACTTGTCTTAAGGCTGTCGTTGCCACTAAATGCACTATGATTTATTATCGTGTGATTGTTCAGTTAAACAATGTTGATTTTATATTTCATCATCAGGTTAACGTGATAGCTTGCACCTGATGTATTGTTGTGTGTCCCATTTTTTTCTCTTTCTGCAGGTCTAGAAGGTCCCACCATTTGTCTTTTCCTTTCTCTTTCACCTCTGTCTCTGTGTCTGGTCGGAATTACAAAGCATTCAAAAACAATAACAATAAAGTTTTAAGTATCAGGCATGACATTAAAAGCCGACGCTGTTAACAGATTCAGTGACTGATGATGGTGCTCCCAATTATTGTTCATTCCTTACAGGTGTGCTTGTCATGTGATCATGTCATGTGCTCTCCTATTTAAGCTGCACCTGTACCAATAAACGAGTGATTGAGTGTCCTCATTGCATCCAGACTCCAGTCATGTTTGTTCTCTCCAGACACAAGCAAGTTTAGGCCAGTATATTTGGGTTCTGTTTAACAGAAGCTTTGATGCTCCACCTGAGAGTAAATCTGTAAGGCTTGTCACCAGCATTCAGACATGAATTTTGTTTGCTTCACAGCCAGACAGGACACGGTTAAAAAAAAAACTTTAGACACTGGACTTGTAGCAGTTGGTCAGTGAACACTACAGTATTGTGTTTTTCCTTATGTTCCTATCCTCAACTGTTCACATTTATGCAACCAAAGGTTAATAAAATGTTGGTCAGTTTTTTATACTTACTGTTGTTTGCTTTTGTTTTCTTTTTGAGTAATATCACTTGATCTGTCATGACTCCCATCCTTTACCCTCATCTGCCTTATCATTTCCTCCTCATTCAGCTCACCTTGTCCTCTCACCAAGCTCCAGCCAAGCCCTGTTTTCCCCAGCAACCTCTGTCAGCTTCAATCAGCTCCATTCATTCCACCTGCTCCTGTAATCAGCCTCATCCCATACACCTGCTTCCCCTGCTATAAAAGAACCAGCCATCCAGTCAACAGATGCCAGATTATTACAGCCTTGCCAGTAGTTCTCCAGCCATCCACCCTGCCTGATCTTTGCCTCTGGACCTTGTTTTTTGCCTGACCCCTGCCTTGTATCCTGCCTGCCATTTTGACCTTAGCCTGTCTCCGACTCTGTCTCCAGCCTCGCCCATCTGGTAACTCTGCTTGAAATAAAGACTTTCATATCGGATTGATATTGGTATTGGTCAATACTGAAGGCTGCAATATCGATATTGTATTGGAGATGAAAAAAGTTGCATAGGGACATCCCTACCTACAACTGCTTTGCAGATGACACCCAGATCTACCTAGCTCCATCACCTAATGAATCTGGTCCCTGAGACCAGTGGTTCCCAACCTTTTCTGACTCGTGGACACCCTCGACCGTTTTCTCGTACAACAAGTACCCCCATAGTCAAACGTGCTGACTGTTCTGCTAAATTAGAATGAACAACTGATTATAAAATGAAATTTACTTCATTAAATCTCCTTAACGCTGAACCACGTCTCACTTCCTGCCTAGCTCAGGTGAATGGTTTAACTTTAACAATCCTCATGCAGGGTCCAGACTCCATGTGGAAACTTTCTGGAGTTCTGCATCCAGATCAGCATCACAGCTGGTGTAAATGCTCTGATTGGACTCAATGATTTCTGATTTACATGAAAGTGGATCACATCCATTCTGTAGCCTTTAATCCAAATCTGACCCAGATTGACAAAATTCATGCACAGTTGCGGTTGGCCTAAATGTATAATTGATACTATGATACAAACCACATATTACTGTGCATTACTTTGAGTATCCAGTAAGAAAAAATGCATTCCAGTTGATTTTTTTTTTACCAGGGCAAATTCTTTCATCATCTAGGTAAGGAAATATTAAATTTTCCCTGTAACCCCTGTAATGCGCTCACAGACAACCAGGGGTACACATAGACTCACTTTGGCCTAGAACAAGTAATTATGTCCTAGTCCATAATATTTGGTGCCTATCTCCAGCGGTCAATGGGCAATCAGGCGGGGTACACCCCGGACAAAGAGCCAGTCCATCGCAGGGCAACAGAGAGACACACAGGACAAACACACACACACACACACACCTAAGGACAATTTAGACAGACCAATTAACCTAACAGTTTTGGACTGTGGGAGGAAGCCGGAGTATCCGGAGAGAAACCCACGCATGCACAGAAAGAACATGCAAACTCCATGCAGAAAGATCCCAGGCTGGGAAGCAAACCCAGGACCTTCTTGCTGCAAGGCAACAGCTCTAACCACTGCGCCCGTGCCCTGGATGTGCATCCCACAAATCTCCAACTGCAAGATGCTCTCCTATCAATATGGCCGACATTTCTAAAGAATGCTTTCAGCACCTTGTTGAATCAACGCCACGTAGAATTAAGGCCATTCTGAAGGAGAAAGGGAGTCAAATACCGTATTAGTATGGTGTTCCTGATAATTCTTTAGGTGAGTGTATATTTATATACATGTAAAGGTGAATGTAAAGGTGAACTATTTCTTTATGTTGAACAATGGCAAAGGTATACAGGCTTTTATTTTGACAGCGTCATAGCAACCGTAGCCAAGTAGGGAGGTGCAACGGGCGCAACACAGAAGAAGCAAACGTAAATCTATTAGAAGTAAAGACGGAGCAAAGGGTAGGCTATTAACGGTTCACGGAGAAGAAGACAAGGAAAGTTTGAAGAATACTTCTGTCTAGCTTCAGTTGATAAGGGGAAGAAGGTTTGTAACTATAATTCAGAATGTTGTTATGAAAACGGAACATGTATGGGTACCTATATGATTGTATTAGTTGTGAAAAGGCTACCAATGTAATCGGTTATGCATTAGTTTATGATTTATTTATTTTTTGTTCATGCCTAGCTCTTACGCTGGTTGGTTGATGATACGGACGGCTCAATAAATCATCATCCACCATCAGTTCCGGCCTTCTCAATATTGACTGAATGCTACTGTGACAGTGTGAGCGTCCTGTCACAATGTCCCGATTGATCATGCGCCCTGGCTACTTGGCCAAAGGGATGTCCCTTTGGCTGACTGGTTAGAGCGTATGACTCTCACCCGGGAGTCTGGGGATCGAATCCCGCCCGGGCCCTCGTTTATCCACCTTGCCACACTACAATACATATATATGGTTCCTCTGCCTATCAGGGCTCAGTGAGCCTCCAGTCCAGCAGGTGGCGCTAGTACACCTTTACGCTGGTCACAAACCACCGGAAGAAGCAGAAACCGGAAGCTGCTAGCAGTGCTAGCTTGTTGTTGTGGTGTGTGAGGAGAACATGTGAGGCTCTGCAGTAAAAACGTCTTCACTTCAGTCTCTGGGAGAGTTGATCAGCTAAAGCGACTAACTGCTGCTTCTGCAGAAATCTTCTCACCAGGCTGTGGAAACTTTCTTCTCCTCAACAACTTGGTGGAGTTCTTTCCAGAACCAGAGAAGATATTCTGCGGTCTTCGTGACAATCGGAGCTCCAAAAGCAGGTGATGGGTCAGAAAAGCTTTTCTCTGGACTTCCTGCCCTCTGGATCTGCTGCTGTTCCTTTGGCCTCTCTGAGAAACGCGCTCGTTTTGCTGCTTTCATCAGACTGAAGAGGTTCCCTCTATCAGACTCGCTCATCTGAGTTGGTCATGATGCAGGATCGCTGCTCGCTCTCTCATCCATCCTGCTCACACTCTCCGACGGAAAAGCCCCGAATCTGAATGAGACTCTGGAGGAAAAAACGGTTAGCTCTACTCTGTGAACTCTGGTGAGCAAAGGTCCTCTTTTCCATACTGGATCTGTCCTCAGCTGATCAGAACCAAAGCGTTGGATCTTTAATCTCCTGCGTTGTTCTGAAGCAGCATCTTAATCAGCTCTCCTGCTTTGTTTCTATTGCAGCTGTTAGCTAAACACGGCTAAAGAAAACCTGCTACCACTTCAGGATCATCCATCAGCATGGACACAGGTACTGGTGTGTGTGTGTGTGTGTGTGTGTGTGTGTGTGTGTGTGTGTGTGTGTGTGTGTGTGTGTGTGTGTGTGTGTGTGTGTGTGTGTGTGTACAGAATGGACACAGGTGCTGGATAGATGGACATTACAGTGAAATTATGAGTTCCTGTGACATAAGGTGGAATCTTTTTTAAAACATCTTTATTGTGATTTTCAGAAATGTAAACAAACTTTACCCAAACACGTGAACTCCAGTCTGGCAAAACAAACAAACAAAAACAAATAAATAAATCTATTTAAATAATAATAATGATATATGCAGGGTCACCCCAATAAATAAATCATTTAAGTTGCTAACATTACATGTGTCCTATCATGAATGTCTAAGCTTTAAACTTTATCAGTGCAAAATTAAAACCACTTCAATTTAAGTTAGTTAAAAAAGTCATGTTTTAATTTGTCTCCAACAGCAGCTGAACGACAAATAATCCTGACTAAAGCTCTTTGATTTCTTTAGGCCACAGATAATTAAGTTCATGATGAGAATAAGTTTGATTAATAAATGGTAAAAGTGAATAAATGATCAAAAGGTTAAAATGTTTTAGGTTTTCAAAACGGATCAGAGTGAGACATTGCTCCTAGTCTTTGTTAAACTGTGTGTGAAACGCGACGGAGTGCTCTTGACTCGGTTTCAGATCTATTCTCTTCCCTCCGCTGCCGGCGTTTACTGTTCTTATCTTACATTTAGACAAAAATAAGAGGGTTAACGGATCATGAACACGCTGATTTAGCTTTATATGTTCGTGACATGGAAAACATTTGTCTTTGTAAGGTTTGACATGTTTAGAGAATGTTTGGGCGTGTGATAATAAAATGTAAGCCGTGTGAGCATATACATGCTAAGCTAGGCTAATTGCTAAGCGCTTTGCTGAGACATCTGTAAACGTCCGTAACGTACTTTCTGTATATTCTAGCTGCAGTTACGAAACATTTATAAAGATCTTCATTTAAGAAAAGCAAACCTTGGGTGAAGATTCTTGTGTTTGTTTTAGTTGGTTGTTTGCTGGCAAGTTACGCTCAGCTACGTGCTGTTAGAAGGGTTAGGGTTATGAGGCAAATTCCTAATTATTCGCAAATTGTGCCAAATAAAACTAAAATATCTCAAAATGGGCAATATGTGTATGGTATGTAAAAGTTGTGTTACTAAGGAGTAGAAAATGATATTTATACAGATACAGGTAATTCCCGATATTACATTTTAAGGCCGATAATATTGGTCATCTAATTTTTTTTCTTGAGTCGGAAAAGGGTAGAATGCCTTCTCTGAGTCAGGGACAAGGGCCTGTCCCAAGTAGAGGACTTTTAGTATCTCGTGGTCTTGTTCACGATTGAGGGAAAGCTGGAGATCCACAGGCGGATTGGTGCTGCATCTGCAGTGATGTTGTACCAGTCTGTCGTGGTGAAAAGAGAGCTGGGGTCTCATTTATCAAACATTGCATAGAATCCTTACTAAAACCGTACTTAAACTCAGCAAAAAAAATAAAAGTACTTACACCAAGTAGGTTTGTGATCCGTCAAACATGGAGTACGCACAGCTGCAAGCAATCTCCGCTTAATGAATCAGAAACTATCTAGAAAGGTTCTACTCTCACTTATGGTCACTAGCTTTGGGTCGTGACCGAAAGAACGAGATCACGGATACAAGCGGCCGAAATGAGTTTTCTTTGCAGGGTGGCTGGGCTCTACAAGGTCGGAGATTGGCCGAACATTAGCTACATGCCAACCCGAAGCTAATGAAGTTTTTCCGGGCATTTTTAGTAAGAAAAATGTGGTAGAGGGACTCCACAGTAAAGGCACTTCTGGCCTGTACAGAACAAAATTTGACAGAACAGATGTTGTCCAGATTGGAGAAGCAGTGGTCGTTAAACTGAGAAGTTAAGGAATCTGCGTCATTATCAGAAAAACAGGGTGGATTAAAAGCGGCAGAAAATTTGCTAGCTGTGCTCTCATTAAACGAGAACTAACCAGATGGTGAGCAGGAGGTGGGGACGCAGAAACTGACAAGTTAAAGAAAATTAATGGTGATCTGAAATTTAAACGTCCTCAGGACAAACATTGTCAGCATTTAGACCCAGAGTAAAAACAAGGTCCAGAGTGTGCCCCCTGGTGTGTGTGGGGCCACAAACATGCTGGGTAAAGTTGAAGGAATCCATGAGGCTGGAGAAGCTCATGGCAAAGTGGTCTGAGGCATCATCAATGTGAATGTTAAAATCACCAACAATCACCAGCTTCACAGTGGAGGATAAAAAGTCACTAAACTCCTGAAGGAGAGAACTGGACCAGGTGGATGATAGATATAGTATAACTTCCAAACACGAACACACAGACAACACCAAAGTTCAGAGAGTCAAAACAGCTGGACTTCTATTAACATGAGACCCAGACTGAGGCCTTTTCCTGGAGCTAGCTCCCAGCACCAGCTCTGGCTCTGATGGGCACTGATGCTCATTAATTATTCAGAATTTTAAGCCTTTATTTAGACTCAAACAGAATAGTTAAAAAAATTCCCCCCACTCATAGTTGTAATGAATGTAAATTACCGAAAATCCTCTAATACAGGCCCGGGCCTGTATTTTACTCAAGCTCATCAAGCTCCAGGCCTTTATTGGAAGGAGGACCAGAATTAGAGGCAGGCCTCAATTTCTATTTGAGCAAAATTAACTAATCGTTCGCTGGAGTTTTTGACAATTAAAATTGCGCCCACATTTTCTAAGTTAAACACATTTCTTTTAACAACGGTAGTTTCTGCTTCAGCCCTCTCCCCCCTCCCCCTGCTTCAGCCCTCTCCCCCCTCCCCCTGCGCAGCGGCCGCAAACTCACTGATGCGCCTGCAGCCTCTCAGTGTTCCTGCTGCTCTAAACATTAAAATAATTATTTCATTTTCTGTTCCTCACTTCTGATTACCTTCAATAGTGTCTGTTTGTTGCAACCACCAGGTACAAAAACTAACTTGTTTTTATTTGACTATTTTTCTGTCCTGCCTGTTTATCATCTTCCTGCATCTCCTCTCAATCCTAAAGAAAAACTGCTACCTGGGTTCATATATATTCACCTTATGAGTTACCTTTGAACTGCAGTTCTAAAAGATCTACCGACCGCACAAACAGCGAAGTGTGCGCTGCTCGCAGGCCGCACCGGTGAGGTGCGTCACCGGAGGACAAGGTGATGCGCCCCTCTTGTGATTATTAGCCAACAAATAATTTGTAAGCTTTACTTACTTTTTGGATTCATCAATAAATTGGTAAATATGGAAATATTTACCGATTTATTACGTAATTAGGATATCCGTGGATATGCCCCGGGGCACCACCCCTCTTATCGGGGAAAAATGAATCCAAAACCTCTATCAATCTCTCTAAAGTTCGTAAAATTCTTTTCACAGCAGCAGTTGTATTTTATACCACACAACAAATCACCTGAGACAAAACTTAATTGGCAATAACATTTATTAACTAATATGACCACTTCAGCTCCAACTAAAGCATTAGCTAATCAATATCAACCAACTCATTTTATCAAACGAATAACAAGTAATGAAACAATGGAATGATAATGTGAAATAACAATCTGATCCGGTAGGTGGGTGAAATGACGTAATCAAGTAATGATAGGTTGTTACCAAAATGGAGGGAGTTTTGGAAAAACAAAATGGCGGATCCTTTGTCTGGCTCCTGGGTGTGTTTGGTGTGTGTGTGTGGGTGTTTGTGTTTGGGTGTGTGTGTGTGGAATTCAGCTTGTCTTTCTAAACCCTGAAAACAAGTGGGTGTGTGTAAGCTTTCACAGTAACTCAATCAAAAACACTTCAAAACCGCTTCACAAAGATCAAGAAACAAAACAACAGATCAATCAAAGGCAAATTGAATATCTAAAACAGTCTGTCAGCCTGGTCACAGAGTGAACAAACTCAGATATTAACAATAAAAAACAGGATCTTACTGTGAGATGTCCGATGGCGTTTTTGTTACGGAGGAGAGAAAAAACGTTTGTTATTTTAAAGCAGTCACGCGGTCGACCGCTTCTTTTGGCTATAAGAGAAAACGGGAGAGGAAGAAAGAGCGGGAAAAAAAAGGAAAATCTTGTCTGAACAACCAAGGCGTCCCTCAGATGTTCCAACGGATTAAATGGCGTCCTCCGTTGATTCCAGCTGCTCGACTCCACGCACACGCGTCCGGAGCGGTAGCAGAACGAGCTTCTTCACACCAGATGAATACCTGGACAAAAGAGAGCGATTTCCGCTCTGTGCTTCATCTTATAGACTCGGCTATCCAGCGGGCGAAACCTATGTAGGTTCCGGGGTTCGGCGTCGCTTTGGTGACGTCATCAGGCTGCTGCCGGCTGCAGAGGCTCATGGGAGATGAGGTCCTTGCTGGTGCTGATCTCAATATGCTTTATTTATTTACGCTTCAGGGCGCAGATGACAGTTTTTTGGAGAAAATACTGCATAGTAATTTCCTCATGAGGGCAGAACCTCAACACCCCGCTCCACAGCAGCGAAATGCATCAGGCACAAATAAAGGAATAAAAGACAGAAAACATAAAAGGAAATGTGCCAACATGAACGATCGCGTGTTAAATTTGTTTTTGAGGTGGCGACACCTAATTTGATAATGTTACTGTGGCCGTGCTCAGGACGCAGATGTCTGGAGCGTCCCAACGATCAGAGCTTTGCATGCGCAAGCTGGTTAAGGTTAGAATGGGGTGTGGGGAAGGTTAAATTGCAAGAGGGTAAAGGTCACAATTTGGTTAAATGTTCGTTTTACAGCGGGTGTCAGTACCGACGCTCTGGCACAGAGCGTTGCCTCCCAACGTGCAGGAGCTTGTCACCTGCTGACAGCAGGCTGCTGTCTTTTCCGAGGACTGCATCTTGCCGGTCATTATCACGTGACAGCGACTAGTCGATGACAGGCATAAAACTTCACTATAGAGCGGTGAAGTCGACTAGTGACTAGTTCATACAACCCCTATTGCTCCCCACAGTGTTCTGCAGCATAATCAGCACGTTCTCTTTGAACTTGATATCAAATTTTCGCCTCCTCTTCGTCTCCGCACAGTTAAAGTTACCCTCGCGGTCTATCACTGGCAAATCAAAAGTGAGACGGATGACACAACCGTCCCCCGTACTTGCTTGTTACCACATTCCACCCGGCCACAATAAAAAAACCGGCCATTATTCACCTCCGCCGACTCCGACACCGGCCAAAATGTGGTACCCGGCAGTTAATTGAATACAGGCCAATATTAGAGGATTTACGGTATTGCAGATTGCACAAACACCACTGGGTATTTTGTCCTCTTTTCATACTGCCTGTTTTAACTTTATATACTTTCACTGCAGTTTCTATAAAGAGTGAGGATGAAGAGAAACCTCTGATGTCACACCTTCATCAGCAGCAACTAGACAACAGAGGTGTTCCAACCAGCAGCTCAGCTGACCAGATGACAGCAGGAAGTAGCAGGAACCCAGATCTGAACCATCATGAACAGCCATCTGGTTCATCTGAGACTGCAGGTAGGGTTGCAAGTATTACCTTATTTGAGTATTAACCACGGTGTGAACGCTGCAGTTAGACCACCCTAAAGATGTCTCCATCACAGCAAATTTAAAAAAAAATTAATTAGCGGATCAAAATTAAAGCCAAACTAAACGGACTTGTGCAGCAAAACCAGCAACAACAAGCACCGGGGCCGCTCCGTTTCCACCTAGGAAGAGCTTGAAGTCTCCTCTGAGGGAATGCTTTAGATTCCTAAAGCTGCTAAAGGACAAATTCAGGATGATGGCTCATCCATCTGCAGAGCCGGTGTTCTGACTATCCGTGCTTCCCCGTTAAATATTCCTACCACAGCGTGTTACGAGAGTTTTTCTCTTGTTTACAGTATAGTAACAGGCTTATGTAATGGAGGATAAAGAGTTACATTTTAGTTAATGACCAGAGACATTAATGATCCCTATCTGGTAGGGACCCCATCTACTGGACACTGGGCTATTTAAATCAGAAGAGTGGTTCTTTTTATTACAGGGAAATTTAAAATAAACACTTTGCATGAACTGAGAGACAAGAGAAGAGAGAGAGACCTCCAAACGTTTAAGCAAATTTATTATCTAAATTATTTTAAACAGTTTAACAGGACTAACTTTCTAGGGATGGATGCTCATGGAATAGAATGTGAGGTGGAGTGTGTGTTGGTGTGATGTCAGTTCAGAACCTCCGTTCTGGAGAAGCGAGTCTGAGTGGGAGATGATGTTTTGCTCCTAACTGATCAACGTTTGAACCGTGGTCAGAAAACAACATAAGACGCCATCTGTGCCGCTCTACATTACCCGTCAGTGAACCTCCGTCTTAGATCAGGCTGCCAGGTGCACGACCTTCCACTGGTACTGGAGCCGATGAAACAACGTCTTCAGCACGACAAACCAGTCTTTGGATAGTCTCCAGGTAAAAGCGACAGGTGTTTCACAGCGTCAAAGGGACCCCCCTTTGGGTCAGCGAGTTCAGCTTTTATTCTGAAGGAACCGTTGTTTTGTTGATGACAATGACAGGATTTCCCAGCTTGGCAGTTCTCAGCTTAAAAGTAAAAAGTACAGATGGCCGGTCCGTTTCCACTTAGCAATGATGAACTTCAGGGGATCTGGAGATCTGGCTGAATACTGAACTCAAAATGGCGTTGGGCTGTTTTATTAATCTTGATGTTTACGATTCTGAACGAATCACAGCTGACAGATTAAATAAACACTACAGAGACTCTGCCACGCTTCAGATGTGAAGGTTCTGATTGGATTTGCGACCAGAATGTGTCATGATTATTTATCTTGTGTATCAGGTGACTAGTGGCTACGTCATTTACTTATTAAAACATTAATCATAACATTGTGATTTCACAGATCGGTCACATGGTTATTATTGACTAACAGTTGTTTTGATTAGCTTTATTAAAATAGAGTTCTTTGATTAATTAAAAGAAAAGAGTTCATTCTTCGTTCTTCTGTTTTCACTGCTGGAATGTAAACAGTTTAGAAGTGAATGCATGGCCTTGGCTGTTTCATGCACTCTGGCACTGTGTCAAAAGGAAACAGCTGTTAGGGTAGAAATGGCTCTTTCATCACGTTACACTTAATAAGCACGGTTTATTGTAAATATGTGATATTACTCAAAAATAAAGAACTGCAGTATAATTATTAACAAGAATATACAGTGTTTGTCATGATTTATTTATAAAAAAGACTGTGTTTGTCATAATTGCCATGAATGACGGTAAACAATGGGACACATTTCCTGTTTACAGTATAATAACGTTAATTTACAATCCATGTACAAGCTAACTGTCAGGTAAACATACAGCAAGCCGTAATAGAGCTCCGGACGTCACGTGACTCTCAGAGAGTAGACGCCATGTTGGCAGGCAACAAATGTAAACAAATTGAACGGGATCGTCTTGGATTTTACTTTGTTGGAGTTTACTTCACACATTAAAACCGAAGAAGTCGTTTTATATAGTCAGAAATTAAATAGACTAAACATCTCCGACCCTTACCGTGCCCCAAGGATACTTTTTAAAAACGCCAGAAGCTGTCGGAGCGGACCTCTTACCGGACCTGGCCGGGGAACCCTTTGGGATTCCCTCGGAGGATGCTTGCCCAAGTGGCTGGGGAGAGGTCTGGGACTCTCGACGCTACTGCCCCCGTAACCCGACTCCGGATAAGCGGATGAAAATGGATGGATGGACAAATAACAGATTTACATGTAAGTAGTTTAAATAGAATGCTGTGCTGTTTGAATGTATAAACTGAACTTCAAGAGAAATCACTAGTTAGATTTTTTTCCGTGAATAAAATAAATATGTCAGGCAGGAGCGTCTCAGGATCTGTCTGAGATCTGTCTCGGTGAGACAGATAATAGCAATCCAAAGTGCTTTTTATGTGTGATCTGACAATTGATCAACCATTGCTTAAAAATTAAATACAGCTTAGCCGGTTAATTGCTGTGATCATAAAACACGTAAACGGCAGCACGCAGAACTCACGAGTCAACGTTTTACGTGATGTTTACTTGTTGCTATGAGTAATAAGACAGAAAAAGCCACGCCAAAATGAGTTTAGGAAGCCCACTAAGAATCGTAATAAAAGCATTTAAAATAAATACCATACACCGTTGAGGAAACGTTGGTTTAAGTACCTGATATGAAGTGGTCGCTGCATAAGCAAAAACCTTTACTCTCGGGATCCCACAGCTTCATTTTAGCCCAGTCACTAGTGCGTTTTATTACAATGATCCAACGTTTGCGGCGCTCCAGATCTTGGGGAATCCTGTAGATGGCTCATTCCTTATGTCGTCCGTGTCTGTTCTGCATCCTGGGGCACAACAGGAATCTACCATGTTTCCCGTTTATTGAGTTTTCTGACAATAACAAATAGTCCAGCTGCAGACTTCTGCCTGCCAATATGGTGCCGTTTCGATTTAAACTGTTGCATGCCGGGAGAAGTGACGCCAACTCTCGGAGCTCTATACAACAACTTCCAAAGATAGAGCGTCGCTTCAGGTAAACAGCCTAGTAATCGGTCTGGGCAAGTGCATTTCCCAAAGTAGCACATATCAAAAGTACCATGGATAGTTGAAACACAGACTGAAAAATAGTTGCGACTGCGACACCCCCATCTTGTTATCATCTCTGATATCATCACGCAGACAAATAAGTTCTGAGTCAGATTACATTAGTGCAATATTACTCAAATGTAATGGTCTGAGGGCTACTCAACAAAACGCCCTGGAAGCACGAGGTCTGGGGGTGGGGGGCTGTAGCTGGATTGTTGGGCCGGGGTGGTGCTGGCGTGGCAGTTCAAGACACAACGCCTACTGAGTACCGCTGCATTAGTGACTGAAGTGATTCAACAGTAATATTAGAATAATCAGTGAATTGGGGTCATTTAGTAGTGTTATTGTGCATTCTAGTTGTCATCGGAACTCGGAATTTCCAAGCAGGAAATTACATAATGTGCTCGTTTTGCGTTCCAGCTTCCAACTAGGCGGAAAAAATGGATGCCAACAGTGTTGTTGAGTACCAAGCCAAAAGAATTATATAAACAAACATCTAAATAATGGTGACACACACGCCCTTCGACAGTTGCCACAAACAACCAGAAAAACTACAATTCAAATGTAAAAATATAAACACTAGGAAAAGTAAAAACCATAAATACCAGTCAATTTTGGTGACGCGTGAAAGGTTTCTAGGCTTGAAAACAATGGACTCTATCTTTGTCTCATTTACACTCAAGAAGTCTGCAGCTAACCATTCTGTAACATCAGAAAGCCAATTTAACACTTGAATATCCGCGTCTGGTTCTTTCATTGCCAAGTAAATCTGACAATAATCAACATAGATGTGATAGCTGATGATATGAAGCGGAAAAATCTGTCCCAAGGGATGCAGATGAATGGAAAACAGGAGGAGGCCCAAGACTGAGCCATGAGGCACCCCCACAAGGATAAGTATAACAGAGTTACCTTAAAAGGTAACTCATTAGATTATTAGTCACTGGTAAAAAGTAATGTGTTACCAAAGCGAGCAATATGTTACCCAATACTGTGTGACAGGGTGAGTATCACGGACTCCCGATTGATCATGTGCCCTGGCTACTTGGCCAAGGGGATGTCCATTTGGCTGATTGGTTAGCACATGACTCTCACCCGGGATTCTGTGGATCATATCCCGCTCGGGCCCTCGTTTCTCCTCCTTGCCACAACTGGTTATGTATATTGCTGATTGCACAAACACCACTAGGTATTTTGCCCTGATTTTACGGCTTGTTTTTATTTTATAGATTTCTACTTTTTTCATTACAGTTTCTATAAAGAGTGAGGAAGATGAAGAGAAACCACTGTTCTCACAACTTCATCAGCAGCAATTAGAAGACAGAGATGTTCCAACTAGCAGCTCAACTGAGCAGATGGCGGCAAAAACCGATGGAGGAGCAGAAACTGGCATGAACCCATATCTGAACCTTCATGAACAGATATCCGATTCATCAGAGACTGAAGTCAGTGGAAATGATGAAGAGGATGATGGTGTGAACCTAGACTCTTTCCTGTTAGACACTGGGCCTGAAACTGGAGACGAAGATATTGGCTGGAATAAGAGCAGGTCTTCTGAGTCAGATGTTAAGGATGTCAACAGACCCTTTAGCTGCCATGAATGTGGTAAACTATTTCTCCACAAGTGGTCTCTCCAGAAACACGTGAGACTGACAAGTCATTCAGCAAGAAGGTCTTTAGGATGTTTGGTTAAGAAAAAGTGTGTTACAATGAAGCAACATGTAGACTCATGCAGAAAAGTCCACACAGGACAGAAGCCTTTTACCTGTACGCTCTGTGGTTCAAGATTTACCCGTAACGCAACTTTAAGTAGTCACATGAAAGTCCACACAGGACTAAAGCCTTTTGCCTGTGAGCTCTGTGGTAAAAAATTTGCCCACAAGCCAAATTTAAACATTCACATGAGAGTCCACACAGGACAAAAGCCTTTTACCTGTGAGCTCTGTGGTAAAAAATTTACCCATAAGGGAAATTCAAACAGTCACAAAGCAGTCCACGCAGGACTAAAGCCTTTTACCTGTGAGCTCTGTGATTTAAGATTTACCCGGAAGGCAACTTTAAACAATCACATGAAAATTCACACAGGACTAAAGCCTTTTACTTGTGAGCTCTGTGATTTAAGATTTACCCGGAAGACAACTTTAAACAATCACATGAAAGTTCACACAGGACTAAAGCCTTTTACCTGTGAGCTCTGTGGTTTAAGATTGACCCGGAAGACAACTTTAAACAATCACATGAAAGTCCACACAGGACTAAGGCCTTTTGCCTGTGAGCTCTGTGGAAAAAAATTTGCCAAAAAGGTCAATTTAAACAGTCACATGAGAGTCCACACAGGACAGAAGCCTTTTGCCTGTGAGCTTTGTGAAAAAAGATTTAGCAGTAAGACACATTTAAACATTCACATGAGAGTCCATACAGGACAAAAGCCTTTTGCCTGTGAAATCTGTGGTCAAAATTATCGACATATGGAAACTTTAAAAAGTCACACGAGAGTCCACACAGGACAGAAGCCTTTTGCCTGTGAAATCTGTGGTCGAAATTTTCGACATAAGGGAGCTTTAAACAGTCACATGACTGTCCACACAGGAGAAAAGCCTTTTGCCTGTGTGCCCTGTGGAAAAAGATTTACCCGTAAGACAACTTTAAACAATCACATGAGAGTCCACACAGGACAGAAGCCTTTTGCCTGTGAACTCTGTGGTGAAAGATTTCACCAAAAGGTAACTTTAAACCGTCACATGAGAGTCCACACAGGACGGAAACCTTTTTCCTGTAAGATTTGTGGCCAGGGATTAAGCCGTAAAGCATTTTTTGCCGATCACATGAGTGCCCACATGAGACCGAAGGAACTCACTATACAAGTTCCAGAAATGATCAATGTAGTTTGTGCATTGTAGCTCTTTTGAGTGGAGAGGATGCAGAGTGCTGATCATTGATGCACTCCACAGGCAGCTGTGTCCTTCGCACAGCCACAGTAACATTCTCAAAGTGGCGCCATCACAGGATACAACTGTTCATGTCCGCTCTGTTCTGGTCCTGCTGGACCTGACTGCAGCCTTTGACACTAGCTGCGTTTTCATGTGGCAAATTTCCTCAATCCGATTGAAATCTTGGTTGATCGGAATTTCCGAATCTCTGTTCACATGGACACGAACTGAAATGATCCGATCATGCCGTGCGTACATACGCATCAAGCATTTAATCCGATTAAATAGGTTGAGCATGCGCAGAGTTGCCTTTCACGAAAGAAAAATTGTAAACAAACGCCATGAAACGAAAAGAAAAATATAAAAACAGAAATAACTATTCTTCCTGCTTTCCTGATCTATTTATTCAATTTAATATTTTTATTTAGCTCATAGAAGTTACGTTTTCTTCAGTAAATAACTGCAGATATATGTTTTGCTGCATTTTATTGTTGATTAAAATAAGGGAAGGTTATGTCTGTCTCTTGATCAGCTGGTCCGCAGGTCTGAATTGACAGCTGTTGCGCTGCACTGTGGCGCAGAGCGGGGGTGGGGGGTTAGCCTCATGTTTTATTACTGAGCTCTGTTGTGGCTTATTATAAATAACATGTGACGATCAGCTGAAACTGTTGAGAAAAATCTGTTCAAACAAAATAACAGAAGATGTTCAGAGAGTTTAGAAGCCTGTGTTCATCATTAACGAACCGCATCTCAGGTCATCTGCGTTTACGTGCTTCTAACACGGACTTTACTGTCGTCCAGAGTATTTAACCGAGGACGTTTTCCTACCCAACATCAGCCTCCAATCAGGTCTGTAATACCCGTATTATCCTGTCTTCTTTACAAGCACGTCTCCATCACCTGCTGCAGAAGCTGCTGCGTTCAAAGCTGACAGAAACGGGGATCCGTGCGCTGCAACCCCGCAATAAACCTGCGTATTTCCAGTACAGATTTGAACATGTTTGTCGAATGATTTGTGCAATAATCAGATTTTTATTTTACTTCCACAAAATGCAAGTTCTGAATTAAATATTACTGAAAGGGGACGGCTTGTCGTCGGATTTAAAAGCCGCCGCTCGTTAATTACACCGTCATTTTTGAAGTCAGGCAGTCCAAATGACAGCGGAGAGGCCCGCTGGCTGTTGCACACATGCGCAGTGGGCATTATTTTACCCCAACAATCCGAATGGCTGTGTACATGCACGTCAATTGGAATGAAGAACGGAATAAACCACCTCTCTCAATCGGATTGAAATTTGAATCCGATCGGGCCGAATCGGATCAGAACATTCTGATTGACATGTTTACATGCAGAATTTTCAATCTGAATGGGCATTCAATCCGATTAAATATGCGCATGTAAACGTGGCTACTGTTTACCATCACCCGCTACTGGAGAGGCTGGGAGACTGGGTAGGCCTATCAGGAACTGCTCTGGAGTGGTTCTCCTCTAATCTTTCTGAGCGCTCCTTTTCTGTGGCCGTCTCCAAGTTTAGGTCCTCCACCACCTCTCTTACCCATGGTGTCCCACAAGTTTCTGTGCTTGGACCTCTGCTCTTCCTCATCTGTTTCCTCTTCAGCACATCCTGAGCTCCTTCAAAGGAATCTCCTACCATCTTTATGCAGATGACATCCAACTGTACATCTCCTTTAAGCCCCATGAGATGTCTAAGCTGCAGCTGTTACACACCTGCTTAGACTCTGTCAAGACCTGGATGGTGGAAACTTTCTACAGCTGAATGTAGATAAGACTGAGATCCTCATCTGTGCCCCAGACAAGCTGGTTCCCAAAGTCAGAGACTCTCTTGGTCAGCTTGCTTCTCACACCAAACCATCTGTCAGGAATCTTGGCGTGACCTTTGACCCAGCTCTCACCCTGGATTCTCATGTCAGTTCTCTTGTTCGCTCTTCCTTCTTCCATCGCAGCAACGTTGCTAAGCTGAGTCCCATTCTGTCCCACTCTGAACTTGAGACAGTTCTCCACACCTTCATCTCCTCACGCTTAGACTACTGTAACTCTCTTTTCACGTGTCTGAGCAGAACCTCCCTGAACCGTCTACAGGTGGTTCAGAACGCCTGTGCTCGGCTTCTGACCAAGTCCTCCAAACACACCCACATCACCCCACTTCTCCTCCAGCTTCACTGGCTGCCAGTCAACTTCAGGATTAATTTCAAGATCCTGGTTCTGGTCTATAGGGCCTTACATGGACAAGCACCATCTTACATTGGTGATCTTCTTAGTCCCTACACCCCCAGCAGGTCCCTGAGGTCCAGTGACCAAAGCCTACTGGTTGTGCAGCACCAGGCTAAAGACCAAAGGTGACAGATCATTTACTGCAGTGGCCCCCAGACTCTGGAACTCTCTCCCCCTGAGCCTGAGATCAGTGGACTCAGTGGTCTCCTTTAAAAAGCAGCTGAAGACTCACTTGTTCAAGCTGGCTTTTGTATGACCTTCTTCACCTCTCTCTCTTTATTCGGCTCTCCCCACCTATTCCGCCTTCCTCAGGATCCACTGATTTCCCTCTTTCCTATTCACTCTCTCCTTTACATTTTTTATCACAATTATCAATTTTGTTTCCGATTTTAAATATATTTTTAATTTTCTAAATTCTTTTTTATATTTTTGTTTTTGTGAAGCGCTTCGTGATTTTTTTCTTGAGAGGCGCTATAGAAAAGATCTTTCTTATATTATCTCTGGTACTTTGTCTTTTATTCATGCCTGACATGCTCTGCTGCAGTTCAGATCATCTTTAAAACTCAGTCCCATACCCAGTGCTGTATAAAGACATTTTGGGGTCCAAAGCAAAGTAAACCTTCCTCTCACAGGGCTCCTCTGGAAGTAGGGATGGGTACCTTTGACATTTGAATCGATATGGTACCAATTCCCGGTACCTACAAATCGATGCCGGTACCTAACGCTACCAATATTCGATACTTTTCAGTGTTTAATAATTATTTAAATCTCTTTTGGTTTGTTGTACCTTGTACAGCGCTTTGGGTGTAGCTTTGCTGCTGTAAATGCACTCTATAAAAAAAATTGACCTTGTCCTTTTATAATTATATACACTCACCCAAAGAATAGTTAGGAACACCACACTAATACAGTGTTTGACCCCCTTTCTCCTTCAGAACTGCCATAATTCTACGTGGCATTGATTCAACAAGGTGCTGAAAGCATTCTTTAGAAATGTCGGCCATATTGATAGGATAGCATCTTGCAGTTGATGGAGATGTGTGGGATGCACATCCAGGGCACGAAGCTCCCGTTCCACCACATCCCAAAGATGCTCTATCGGGTTGAGATCTGGTGACTGTGGGGGCCATTGTAGTACAGTGAACTCATCGTCATGTTCAAGAAACCAATTTTACATGATTGGAGCTTTATGACATGGTGCATTATCCTGCTGGAAGTAGCCATCAGAGGATAGGTACATGGTGGTCATGAAGGGATGGACATGGTCAGAAACAATGCTCAGCTAGCCCGTGGCATTAAACTAGGCCCAGCTGGCACCAAGGGGCCTAAAGTGTGCAAAGAAAACATTCCCCACACCATGACACCACCACCACCAGCAGCCTGCACAGTGGTAACAAGGCATGATGGATCAATGTTCTCATTCTTTTTATGCCAAATTCTGACTACCGTTTGAATGTCTCAACAAAAATGGAGACCCATCAGACCAGGCAACATTTTTCCAGTCTTCAACTGTCCAGTTTTGGTGAGCTGGTGCAAATTGTAGCCTCTTTATCCTATTTGTAGTGGAGATGAGTGGAACCTGGTGGGGTCTTCTGCTGCTGTAGCCCGTCTGCCTCAAGGTTGTGCGTGTTGTGGCTTCACCAACGCTTTGCTGCATTCCTCGGTTGTAACGAGTGGTTATTTCAGTCAAAGTTGCTCTTCTATCAGCTTGAATCAGTCGGCCCATTCTCCTCTGACCTCTAGCATCAACAAGACATTTGGCCCACAGGACTGCCGCATACTGGATGTTTTTCCCTTTTCACATCATTCTTTGTAAACCCTAGAAATGGTTGTGGGTGAAAATCCCAGTAACTGAGCAGATTGTGAAATACTCAGACCGGCCCGTCTGGCACCAACAACCATGCCACGCTCAAAATAGCTTAAATCACCTTTCTTTCCCGTTCTGACCTTCAGTTTGGAGTTCAGGAGATGGTCTTGACCAGGACCACGCCCCTAAATGCATTGATGCAGCTGCCATGTGATTGGTTGATTAGATAATTGCATTAAGGAGAGGTTGAACAGGTGTTCCTAATAATCCTTTAGGTGAGTGTAAGTTTAGAGGTTTAGGGGAGCTGAGCACTCAGAGAGCTACTTAGCCAGCAAGTTAAATGTCACAGTTTAGTACATTTTAATTTCATTTCCATTTTTGTGAAAGGAAGGACAATTTCTTTATCCACAAATAAAATAAAGATTTAACAAGTCACAAACTGTGTTTAATAGATTATGCTATCAGTGTATCTGTATCTGGTCCAGGCTTCTTCCTGGACAAGCCGGGACTCCCAACTCCACCTCCTACCCACATACAGTTCCTTCTCAAAAAATTTGCATAATGTGATAAAGTTCATTATTGTCTGTAATGTACTGACATTAGACTTTAGACTAATGTCAGTAATGTTTTTAGACATTAGACTTTCATATATATTAGATTCATTACACACAACCGAAGTAGTTCAAGCTTTTTATTGTTTCTAATATTGATGATTTAGGCATACAGCTCATGAAAACCCAAAATTCCCATCTAAAAAAATGTGCATATCATGAAAAGGTTCTCTAAATGAGCTATTAACCTAATCATCTGAATCAACTAATTAACTCTTAACACCTGCAAAAGATTCCTGAGGCTTTTAAAAACTCCCAGCCTGGTTCATTACTCAAAACAGCAATCATGGGTAAGACTGCCGACCTGACTGCTGTCCAGAAGGCCATCGTTGACACCCTCAAGCAAGAGGGTAAGACACAGAAAGACATTTCTGAATGAATAGGCTGTTCCCAGAGTGCTGTATCAATAGCTTAGTGAACTATGGCTGTGTCCGAATCCAGAGGTAGGATGCTTGTGAGTACGGGTCCTCGCCGGTCTAGCAAGGCCGGGTCCTTCTTATATGTTGTATAGCACTCCACCTTCTTATATGTTGCAACAGAAACAACAGAAATAGCCTTATCACCTAGTTCACTTTGTCAAAGAAAAGTTTTAGTGTTGTCAAGTGAACGCGTATGCATGCTGTACCAACTCCATTGCCACCAAGTAAATAAAATCACATGGTGGTGTACAGCTTTATACATAAATACGTTGAGGACATTAAAGCTGATATTTTCTCATGAATTTTCTTTTGAAGCAATAATGGGATTTTTAATATTAGTTATTTGTATAATTTTCCAAATATTTTGCTGGTGTGACATGTGAATGTGTGTCCTGAAAAAAACATGGGCTACAGATATAATTGGAAAACCTTTGGAGGAAAACTAGAGATGTCCTGTTCCGATATCGCAGCTTTATTACTGCAATGCACCATATGTTGGGCTGAGTCAGGCAGCACTGACGTGGTTACAGTCTCCCTGGGGTCCCTGTGCTCTGGGGCAGCTCCTGGATCTCTGGGACTTGGAGCTCCTTCCATCTCCTACACATTTTGGGGGGCAGATCTGTGGCCCCTCACACTCTCTAATGGACGCTCCTATAGAAAAACCTTATATATACAAGCATGTGTACACACACAGGTGCTCACATGGTGCTCTCATAATTATGGAATTGGGCATTTTCAACATATGTCTTAAGGCTGTGGTTGGCACTAAATGCACCATGATTTATTATCGTGTGATTGTTCAGTAAAACAATGTAGATTTTAAATTTCCTCATCAGGCTGACGCAGTGATAGTTTGCTCTTGTATTGTTGTGTGTCCCTTTTCTGCAAGTCTAGAAGCAGACTCTTGCTCGTCATTGATTGGTTATTTTTGGGGCCTTGGGAGTGAGCACATTCAACGGCACTTGGCAGGGGGATTTCTCAGCCTCCTCCCGAGTGCCGGTGCCCACTTCCAATTTTAAATTGCACTTGCACCCACACCGAGGGCTGTGGGTGCAAGTGGGGTGGTGCGGTGGCATCCACTGGCATAGGCCAGACAATGCCCGCACTGCCCGCTCACCACAGCCATGGAATACACCTCATCAAATCAATTTCCCTCTGGGATTAATAAAGTATTTTTGAATTGAATTGAATCAACACTCAACACTGTAATGGAGCAGGCGGAGGGAGACTAGGAGTCTTAGCACACCTCTTGTTACTTGGCTTCCTGGGGCTGGAGGCTAGGAGGGAGATCTGGCCATCTGGTTGGGGTCTGGGGTGGTGGGTTGCTGTGCTCAGCGTTGGGCGGGGGAGCCTGCTCAACAGCACCCCAGCAGAAAGGGTCAAACTCTGGTTACCGGTGATGGTTGTACCCAATGTGCAGCAGTACCGGGACCAGAGTGAATAGGGTGTGTATGGGGAGCATGAGTGGGTATCCGGCGTGCACTTTTGTAAGTCTTTGGTTGTATGTGCATATGTGAGCATGAGGGAGGGAGTGTGTGACTGTGTTTGTGTATGACTGTATATGTCAGGTGGGGCCTTTGACTCCTCCCCTCTCCTGGGACTTCTTTTGATGATATAGATCTTTGTCTCCCCTCCCCCTGCCACACCTGGTGTGGGATGTGGTGCCATGGTCTGCCTGAATGTTCGTGGCTCCCAGGTCAGGGGGTTTAAAATTTTTGGTGTCTGCCTGATCAATCCCGGTGGCTGCCTGGTGGGGTCTGGGTCCCTAGGCTCTGCTGGGTCCCCGGCGGGGGTGGTCGCCCCTGGTTCCCGGGTCGCTGGGTCCTGGGCTCGGCCGGCTAGGGGGTGGGAGGCTGCGGGCGGGCCTGTGGGCTTGCCGCTGATATCTCCCGGGGCTCTGCCGGCTCCTGGTTGTGGCCCCCCAGGGCGATCCTCTATGCCTCTCGAGGGGGGCGGGGGCCTTTCTGGTTGCAGTCTCTTTGGGATTCCTGTTTTCTGGGGCAGCGCCTGAATCTCTGGGACTTGGAGCTCCCCCCGTCTCCTACACATCTTTGGGGGGTGGATCTGTGGTCCATCACTCTCTCTGTTGGACGCTCCTATAGAGAAACCTTACATAAACAAGCGTGTGTACACACACATGTGGTCACAGGGTGCTCTCAAAAGTATGGGCTTGGGCACATTCAACACTTGTCTTAAGGCTGTCGTTGCCACTAAATGCACTATGATTTATTATCGTGTGATTGTTCAGTTAAACAATGTTGATTTTATATTTCATCATCAGGTTAACGTGATAGCTTGCACCTGATGTATTGTTGTGTGTCCCATTTTTTTCTCTTTCTGCAGGTCTAGAAGGTCCCACCATTTGTCTTTTCCTTTCTCTTTCACCTCTGTCTCTGTGTCTGGTCGGAATTACAAAGCATTCAAAAACAATAACAATAAAGTTTTAAGTATCAGGCGTGACATTAAAAGCCGACGCTGTTAACAGATTCAGTGACTGATGATGGTGCTCCCAATTATTGTTCATTCCTTACAGGTGTGCTTGTCATGTGATCATGTCATGTGCTCTCCTATTTAAGCTGCACCTGTACCAATAAACGAGTGATTGAGTGTCCTCATTGCATCCAGACTCCAGTCATGTTTGTTCTCTCCAGACACAAGCAAGTTTAGGCCAGTATATTTGGGTTCTGTTTAACAGAAGCTTTGATGCTCCACCTGAGAGTAAATCTGTAAGGCTTGTCACCAGCATTCAGACATGAATTTTGTTTGCTTCACAGCCAGACAGGACACGGTTAAAAAAAAAACTTTAGACACTGGACTTGTAGCAGTTGGTCAGTGAACACTACAGTATTGTGTTTTTCCTTATGTTCCTATCCTCAACTGTTCACATTTATGCAACCAAAGGTTAATAAAATGTTGGTCAGTTTTTTATACTTACTGTTGTTTGCTTTTGTTTTCTTTTTGAGTAATATCACTTGATCTGTCATGACTCCCATCCTTTACCCTCATCTGCCTTATCATTTCCTCCTCATTCAGCTCACCTTGTCCTCTCACCAAGCTCCAGCCAAGCCCTGTTTTCCCCAGCAACCTCTGTCAGCTTCAATCAGCTCCATTCATTCCACCTGCTCCTGTAATCAGCCTCATCCCATACACCTGCTTCCCCTGCTATAAAAGAACCAGCCATCCAGTCAACAGATGCCAGATTATTACAGCCTTGCCAGTAGTTCTCCAGCCATCCACCCTGCCTGATCTTTGCCTCTGGACCTTGTTTTTTGCCTGACCCCTGCCTTGTATCCTGCCTGCCATTTTGACCTTAGCCTGTCTCCGACTCTGTCTCCAGCCTCGCCCATCTGGTAACTCTGCTTGAAATAAAGACTTTCATATCGGATTGATATTGGTATTGGTCAATACTGAAGGCTGCAATATCGATATTGTATTGGAGATGAAAAAAGTTGCATAGGGACATCCTACAACTGCTTTGCAGATGACACCCAGATCTACCTAGCTCCATCACCTAATGAATCTGGTCCCTGAGACCAGTGGTTCCCAACCTTTTCTGACTCGTGGACACCCTCGACCGTTTTCTCGTACAACAAGTACCCCCATAGTCAAACGTGCTGACTGTTCTGCTAAATTAGAATGAACAACTGATTATAAAATGAAATTTACTTCATTAAATCTCCTTAACGCTGAACCACGTCTCACTTCCTGCCTAGCTCAGGTGAATGGTTTAACTTTAACAATCCTCATGCAGGGTCCAGACTCCATGTGGAAACTTTCTGGAGTTCTGCATCCAGATCAGCATCACAGCTGGTGTAAATGCTCTGATTGGACTCAATGATTTCTGATCTACATGAAAGTGGATCACATCCATTCTGTAGCCTTTAATCCAAATCTGACCCAGATTGACAAAATTCATGCACAGTTGCGGTTGGCCTAAATGTATAATTGATACTATGATACAAACCACATATTACTGTGCATTACTTTGAGTATCCAGTAAGAAAAAATGCATTCCAGTTGATTTTTTTTTTTACCAGGGCAAATTCTTTCATCATCTAGGTAAGGAAATATTAAATTTTCCCTGTAACCCCTGTAATGCGCTCACAGACAACCAGGGGTACACATAGACTCACTTTGGCCTAGAACAAGTAATTATGTCCTAGTCCATAATATTTGGTGCCTATCTCCAGCGGTCAATGGGCAATCAGGCGGGGTACACCCCGGACAAAGAGCCAGTCCATCGCAGGGCAACACAGAGACACACAGGACAAACACACACACACACACACACCTAAGGACAATTTAGACAGACCAATTAACCTAACAGTTTTGGACTGTGGGAGGAAGCCGGAGTATCCGGAGAGAAACCCACGCATGCACAGAAAGAACATGCAAACTCCATGCAGAAAGATCCCAGGCTGGGAAGCAAACCCAGGACCTTCTTGCTGCAAGGCAACAGCTCTAACCACTGCGCCCGTGCCCTGGATGTGCATCCCACAAATCTCCAACTGCAAGATGCTCTCCTATCAATATGGCCGACATTTCTAAAGAATGCTTTCAGCACCTTGTTGAATCAACGCCACGTAGAATTAAGGCCATTCTGAAGGAGAAAGGGAGTCAAATACCGTATTAGTATGGTGTTCCTGATAATTCTTTAGGTGAGTGTATATTTATATACATGTAAAGGTGAATGTAAAGGTGAACTATTTCTTTATGTTGAACAATGGCAAAGGTATACAGGCTTTTATTTTGACAGCGTCATAGCAACCGTAGCCAAGTAGGGAGGTGCAACGGGCGCAACACAGAAGAAGCAAACGTAAATCTATTAGAAGTAAAGACGGAGCAAAGGGTAGGCTATTAACGGTTCACGGAGAAGAAGACAAGGAAAGTTTGAAGAATACTTCTGTCTAGCTTCAGTTGATAAGGGGAACAAGGTTTGTAACTATAATTCAGAATGTTGTTATGAAAACGGAACGTGTATGGGTACCTATATGATTGTATTAGTTGTGAAAAGGCTACCAATGTAATCGGTTATGCATTAGTTTATGATTTATTTATTTTTTGTTCATGCCTAGCTCTTACGCTGGTTGGTTGATGATACGGACGGCTCAATAAATCATCATCCACCATCAGTTCCGGCCTTCTCAATATTGACTGAATGCTATTGTGACAGTGTGAGCGTCCTGTCACAATGTCCCGATTGATCATGCGCCCTGGCTACTTGGCCAAGGGGATGTCCCTTTGGCTGACTGGTTAGAGCGTATGACTCTCACCCGGGAGTCTGGGGATCGAATCCCGCCCGGGCCCTCGTTTATCCACCTTGCCACACTACAATACATATATACTGTATGGTTCCTCTGCCTATCAGGGCTCAGTGAGCCTCCAGTCCAGCAGGTGGCGCTAGTACACCTTTACGCTGGTCACAAACCACCGGAAGAAGCAGAAACCGGAAGCTGCTAGCAGTGCTAGCTTGTTGTTGTGGTGTGTGAGGAGAACATGTGAGGCTCTGCAGTAAAAACGTCTTCACTTCAGTCTCTGGGAGAGTTGATCAGCTAAAGCGACTAACTGCTGCTTCTGCAGAAATCTTCTCACCAGGCTGTGGAAACTTTCTTCTCCTCCTCAACAACTTGGTGGAGTTCTTTCCAAAAGCAGAGAAGATATTCTGCGGTCTTCGTGACAATCGGAGCTCCAAAAGCAGGTGATGGGTCAGAAAAGCTTTTCTCTGGACTTCCTGCCCTCTGGATCTGCTGCTGTTCCTTTGGCCCCTCTGAGAAACGCGCTCGTTTTGCTGCTTTCATCAGATTGAAGAGGTTCCCTCTATCAGACTCGCTCATCTGAGTTGGTCATGATGCAGGATCGCTGCTCGCTCTCTCATCCATCCTGCTCACACTCTCCGACGGAAAAGCCCCGAATCTGAATGAGACTCTGGAGGAAAAAACGGTTAGCTCTACTCTGTGAACTCTGGTGAGCAAAGGTCCTCTTTTCCAGACTGGATCTGTCCTCAGCTGATCAGAACCAAAGCGTTGGATCTTTAATCTCCTGCGTTGTTCTGAAGCAGCATCTTAATCAGCTCTCCTGCTTTGTTTCTATTGCAGCTGTTAGCTAAACACGGCTAAAGAAAACCTGCTACCACTTCAGGATCATCCATCAGCATGGACACAGGTACTGGTGTGTGTGTGTGTGTGTGTGTGTGTGTGTGTGTGTGTGTGTGTGTGTGTGTGTGTGTGTGTGTGTGTGTGTGTGTGTGTGTGTGTGTGTGTGTGTGTGTGTGTGTGTGTGTGTGTGTGTGTGTACAGAATGGACACAGGTGCTGGATAGATGGACATTACAGTGAAATTATGAGTTCCTGTGACATAAGGTGGAATCTTTTTTAAAACATCTTTATTGTGATTTTCAGAAATGTAAACAAACTTTACCCAAACACGTGAACTCCAGTCTGGCAAAACAAACAAACAAAAACAAATAAATAAATCTATTTAAATAATAATAATGATATATGCAGGGTCACCCCAATAAATAAATCATTTAAGTTGCTAACATTACATGTGTCCTATCATGAATGTCTAAGCTTTAAACTTTATCAGTGCAAAATTAAAACCACTTCAATTTAAGTTAGTTAAAAAAGTCATGTTTTAATTTGTCTCCAACAGCAGCTGAACGACAAATAATCCTGACTAAAGCTCTTTGATTTCTTTAGGCCACAGATAATTAAGTTCATGATGAGAATAAGTTTGATTAATAAATGGTAAAAGTGAATAAATGATCAAAAGGTTAAAATGTTTTAGGTTTTCAAAACGGATCAGAGTGAGACATTGCTCCTAGTCTTTGTTAAACTGTGTGTGAAACGCGACGGAGTGCTCTTGACTCGGTTTCAGATCTATTCTCTTCCCTCCGCTGCCGGCGTTTACTGTTCTTATCTTACATTTAGACAAAAATAAGAGGGTTAACGGATCATGAACACGCTGATTTAGCTTTATATGTTCGTGACATGGAAAACATTTGTCTTTGTAAGGTTTGACATGTTTAGAGAATGTTTGGGCGTGTGATAATAAAATGTAAGCCGTGTGAGCATATACATGCTAAGCTAGGCTAATTGCTAAGCGCTTTGCTGAGACATCTGTAAACGTCCGTAACGTACTTTCTGTATATTCTAGCTGCAGTTACGAAACATTTATAAAGATCTTCATTTAAGAAAAGCAAACCTTGGGTGAAGATTCTTGTGTTTGTTTTAGTTGGTTGTTTGCTGGCAAGTTACGCTCAGCTACGTGCTGTTAGAAGGGTTAGGGTTATGAGGCAAATTCCTAATTATTCGCAAATTGTGCCAAATAAAACTAAAATATCTCAAAATGGGCAATATGTGTATGGTATGTAAAAGTTGTGTTACTAAGGAGTAGAAAATGATATTTATACAGATACAGGTAATTCCCGATATTACATTTTAAGGCCGATAATATTGGTCATCTAATTTTTTTTCTTGAGTCGGAAAAGGGTAGAATGCCTTCTCTGAGTCAGGGACAAGGGCCTGTCCCAAGTAGAGGACTTTTAGTATCTCGTGGTCTTGTTCACGATTGAGGGAAAGCTGGAGATCCACAGGCGGATTGGTGCTGCATCTGCAGTGATGTTGTACCAGTCTGTCGTGGTGAAAAGAGAGCTGGGGTCTCATTTATCAAACATTGCATAGAATCCTTACTAAAACCGTACTTAAACTCAGCAAAAAAATAAAAGTACTTACACCAAGTAGGTTTGTGATCCGTCAAACATGGAGTACGCACAGCTGCAAGCAATCTCCGCTTAATGAATCAGAAACTATCTAGAAAGGTTCTACTCTCACTTATGGTCACTAGCTTTGGGTCGTGACCGAAAGAACGAGATCACGGATACAAGCGGCCGAAATGAGTTTTCTTTGCAGGGTGGCTGGGCTCTACAAGGTCGGAGATTGGCCGAACATTAGCTACATGCCAACCCGAAGCTAATGAAGTTTTTCCGGGCATTTTTAGTAAGAAAAATGTGGTAGAGGGACTCCACAGTAAAGGCACTTCTGGCCTGTACAGAACAAAATTTGACAGAACAGATGTTGTCCAGATTGGAGAAGCAGTGGTCGTTAAACTGAGAAGTTAAGGAATCTGCGTCATTATCAGAAAAACAGGGTGGATTAAAAGCGGCAGAAAATTTGCTAGCTGTGCTCTCATTAAACGAGAACTAACCAGATGGTGAGCAGGAGGTGGGGACGCAGAAACTGACAAGTTAAAGAAAATTAATGGTGATCTGAAATTTAAACGTCCTCAGGACAAACATTGTCAGCATTTAGACCCAGAGTAAAAACAAGGTCCAGAGTGTGCCCCCTGGTGTGTGTGGGGCCACAAACATGCTGGGTAAAGTTGAAGGAATCCATGAGGCTGGAGAAGCTCATGGCAAAGTGGTCTGAGGCATCATCAATGTGAATGTTAAAATCACCAACAATCACCAGCTTCACAGTGGAGGATAAAAAGTCACTAAACTCCTGAAGGAGAGAACTGGACCAGGTGGATGATAGATATAGTATAACTTCCAAACACGAACACACAGACAACACCAAAGTTCAGAGAGTCAAAACAGCTGGACTTCTATTAACATGAGACCCAGACTGAGGCCTTTTCCTGGAGCTAGCTCCCAGCACCAGCTCTGGCTCTGATGGGCACTGATGCTCATTAATTATTCAGAATTTTAAGCCTTTATTTAGACTCAAACAGAATAGTTAAAAAAATTCCCCCCACTCATAGTTGTAATGAATGTAAATTACCGAAAATCCTCTAATACAGGCCCGGGCCTGTATTTTACTCAAGCTCATCAAGCTCCAGGCCTTTATTGGAAGGAGGACCAGAATTAGAGGCAGGCCTCAATTTCTATTTGAGCAAAATTAACTAATCGTTCGCTGGAGTTTTTGACAATTAAAATTGCGCCCACATTTTCTAAGTTAAACACATTTCTTTTAACAACGGTAGTTTCTGCTTCAGCCCTCTCCCCCCTCCCCCTGCTTCAGCCCTCTCCCCCCTCCCCCTGCGCAGCGGCCGCAAACTCACTGATGCGCCTGCAGCCTCTCAGTGTTCCTGCTGCTCTAAACATTAAAATAATTATTTCATTTTCTGTTCCTCACTTCTGATTACCTTCAATAGTGTCTGTTTGTTGCAACCACCAGGTACAAAAACTAACTTGTTTTTATTTGACTATTTTTCTGTCCTGCCTGTTTATCATCTTCCTGCATCTCCTCTCAATCCTAAAGAAAAACTGCTACCTGGGTTCATATATATTCACCTTATGAGTTACCTTTGAACTGCAGTTCTAAAAGATCTACCGACCGCACAAACAGCGAAGTGTGCGCTGCTCGCAGGCCGCACCGGTGAGGTGCGTCACCGGAGGACAAGGTGATGCGCCCCTCTTGTGATTATTAGCCAACAAATAATTTGTAAGCTTTACTTACTTTTTGGATTCATCAATAAATTGGTAAATATGGAAATATTTACCGATTTATTACGTAATTAGGATATCCGTGGATATGCCCCGGGGCACCACCCCTCTTATCGGGGAAAAATGAATCCAAAACCTCTATCAATCTCTCTAAAGTTCGTAAAATTCTTTTCACAGCAGCAGTTGTATTTTATACCACACAACAAATCACCTGAGACAAAACTTAATTGGCAATAACATTTATTAACTAATATGACCACTTCAGCTCCAACTAAAGCATTAGCTAATCAATATCAACCAACTCATTTTATCAAACGAATAACAAGTAATGAAACAATGGAATGATAATGTGAAATAACAATCTGATCCGGTAGGTGGGTGAAATGACGTAATCAAGTAATGATAGGTTGTTACCAAAATGGAGGGAGTTTTGGAAAAACAAAATGGCGGATCCTTTGTCTGGCTCCTGGGTGTGTTTGGTGTGTGTGTGTGGGTGTTTGTGTTTGGGTGTGTGTGTGTGGAATTCAGCTTGTCTTTCTAAACCCTGAAAACAAGTGGGTGTGTGTAAGCTTTCACAGTAACTCAATCAAAAACACTTTAAAACCGCTTCACAAAGATCAAGAAACAAAACAACAGATCAATCAAAGGCAAATTGAATATCTAAAACAGTCTGTCAGCCTGGCCACAGCGTGAACAAACTCAGATATTAACAATAAAAAAACAGGATCTTACTGTGAGATGTCCGATGGCGTTTTTGTTACGGAGGAGAGAAAAACGTTTGTTATTTTAAAGCAGTCACGCGGTCGACCGCTTCTTTTGGCTATAAGAGAAAACGGGAGAGGAAGAAAGAGCGGGGAAAAAAAGGAAAATCTTGTCTGAACAACCAAGGCGTCCCTCAGATGTTCCAACGGATTAAATGGCGTCCTCCGTTGATTCCAGCTGCTCGACTCCACGCACACGCGTCCGGAGCGGTAGCAGAACGAGCTTCTTCACACCAGATGAATACCTGGACAAAAGAGAGCGATTTCCGCTCTGCGCTTCATTTTATAGACTCGGCTATCCAGCGGGCGAAACCTATGTAGGTTCCGGGGTTCGGCGTCGCTTCGGTGACGTCATCAGGCTGCTGCCGGCTGCAGAGGCTCATGGGAGATGAGGTCCTTGCTGGTGCTGATCTCAATATGCTTTATTTATTTACGCTTCAGGGCGCAGATGACAGTTTTTTGGAGAAAATACTGCATAGTAATTTCCTCATGAGGGCAGAACCTCAACACCCCACTCCACAGCAGCGAAACGCATCAGGCACAAATAAAAGAATAAAAGACAGAAAACATAAAAGGAAATGAGCCGACATGAACGATCTCGTGTTAAATTTGTTTTTGAGGTGGCGACACCTAATTTGATAATGTTACTGTGGCCGTGCTCAGGAAGCAGATGTGCGGAGCGTCCCAACGATCAGAGCTTTGCATGTGCAAGCTGGTTAAGGTTAGAATGGGGTGAGGGGAAGGTTAAATTGCAAGAGGGTAAAGGTCACAATTTGGTTAAATGTTCGTTTTACAGCGGGTGTCAGTACCGACGCTCTGGCACAGCGCGTTGCCTCCCGACGTGCAGGAGCTTGTCACCTGCTGACAGCAGGCTGCTGTCTTTTCCGAGGACTGCATCTTGCCGCTCATAATCACGTGACAGCTACTAGTCGATGACAGGCATAAAAAGTCACTATAGAGTGGTGAAGTCGACTAGTGACTAGTTCATACAACCCCTGCTACTGCTCCCCAGAGTGTTCTGCAGCATAATCAGCACGTTCTCTTTGAACTTGATATCAAATTTTTGCCTCCTCTTCATCTCCGCATGGTTAAAGTTACCCTCGCGGTCTATCACTGGCAAATCAAAAGTGAGACGGATGACACAACCGCCCCCCGTACTTGCTTGTTACCACATTCCACCCGGCCACAATGAAAAACCGGCCATTATTCACCTCCGCCGACTCCGACACCGGCCAAAATGTGGTACCCGGCAGTTAATTGAATACAGGCTAATATTAGAGGATTTACGGTATTGCTGATTGCACAAACACCACTGGGTATTTTGTCCTCTTTTTATACTGCCTGTTTTAACTTTATATACTTCTACTTTTTTCACTGCAGTTTCTATAAAGAGTGAGGATGAAGAGAAACCTCTGATGTCACACCTTCATCAGCAGCAACTAGACAACAGAGGTGTTCCAACCAGCAGCTCAGCTGACCAGATGACAGCAGGAAGTAGCAGGAACCCAGATCTGAACCATCATGAACAGCCATCTGGTTCATCTGAGACTGCAGGTAGGGTTGCAAGGATTACCTGATTTGAGTATTAACCATGGTGTGAACGCTGCGGTTAACCCACCCTAAAGATGTCTCCATCACAGCAAATTAAAAACTAAGTAATTAGCGGACCAAAACTAACGCCAAACTAAACGGTCTTTTGCAGCAAAACCAGCAACAACAAGCACCGGGGCCACTCCATTTCCACATAGGAAGTGCTTGAAGTCTCCTCTGAGGGAATGCTTTAGATTCCTAAAGCTGCTAAAGGACAAATTCAGGATGATGGCTCGTCCATCTGCAGAGCCGGTGTTTTGACTTTCCGTGCTTCCCCGTTAAATATTCCTACCACAGCGTGTTACGAGAGTTTTGCTCTTGTTTACAGTATAGTAACAGGCTTATTAAGCACGGTTTATTGTAAATATGTGATATTACTCAAAAATACAGAACTGCAGTATAATTATTAGCAAGAATATACAGTGTTTGTCGTGATTTATTTATAATCAAGACCGTCTTTGCCATAATTCCGTGAATGACGGTAAACAATGGGACACATTTCCTGTTTACAGTATAATAACTTTAATTTACAAGCCATGTACAAGCTAACTGTCAGGTAAACGTACAAGCAGTAATACAATAACTTCCAAAGGTAGAGCTGCTCTAAACATTAAAATAATTATTTCATTTTCTGTTCCTCACTTCTGATTACCTTCAGTGGTGTCTGTTTGTTGCAACCACCAGGTACAAAAACTAACTTGTTTTTATTTGACTTTTTCTGTCCTGCCTGTTTATTATCTTCCTGCATCTCCTCTCAATCCTAAAGAGAAACTGCTACCTGGGTTCATATATATTCACCTTATGAGTTAATTTTGAACTGCAGTTCTAAAAGATCTACCGACAGCACAAACAGCTGAGTGCTCGCCGGCCGCACCGGTGAGGTGCGTCACCGGAGGACAAAACAGGTGATGCGCCCGGATCCACAGCAGCGAAACGCATCAGGCACAAATAAAAGAATAAAAGACAGAAAACACAAAAGGAAATGAGCCGACATGAACGATCGCGTGCTAAATTAGTTTTTGAGGTGACGACACCTGATTTGATAACGTTACTGTGGCCGTGCTCAGGACGCAGATGTCTGGAGCGCGTCAACAATCAGAGCTTTGCATGCGCAAGCTGGTTAAGGTTAGGATGGGGGTGAGGGGAAGGTTAAATTGCAAGAGGGTTAACGTCACAATTTGGTTAAATGTCCGTTTTACGGCGGGTGTCAGTACCGACGCTCTGGCACAGCGCGTTGCCCCCCGAGCGCAGGAGCTTGTCACCTGCTGACAGCAGGCTGCTGCCTTTTCCGTGGACTGCATCTTGCCGGTCATAATCACGTGACAACGACTAGTCGATGACAGGCATAAAATGTCACTATAGAGCAGTGAAGTCGACTAGTGACTAGTTCATACAACCCCTACTGCTCCCCAGAGTGTTCTGCAGCATAATCAGCACGTTCTCTTTGAACTTGATATCAAATTTTCGCCTCCTCTTCGTCTCCGCACGGTTAAAGTTACCCTCGCGGTCTATCACTGGCAAATCAAAAGTGAGACGGATGACACAACCGCCCCCCGTACTTCCTTGTTACCACATTCCACCCGGCCACAATAAAAAAACGGCCATTATTTACCTCCGCCGACTCCGACACCGGCCAAAATGTGGTACCCGGCAGTTAATTGAATACAGGCTAATATTAGAGGATTTACGGTATTGCTGATTGCACAAACACCACTGGGTATTTTGTCCTCTTTTTATACTGCCTGTTTTAACTTTATATACTTCTACTTTTTTCACTGCAGTTTCTATAAAGAGTGAGGATGAAGAGAAACCTCTGATGTCACACCTTCATCAGCAGCAACTAGACAACAGAGGTGTTCCAACCAGCAGCTCAGCTGACCAGATGACAGCAGGAAGTAGCAGGAACCCAGATCTGAACCATCATGAACAGCCATCTGGTTCATCTGAGACTGCAGGTAGGGTTGCAAGGATGACCTGATTTGAGTATTAACCACGGTGTGAACGCTACGGTTAACCCACCCTAAAGATGTCTCCATCACAGCAAATTAAAAACTAAGTAATTAGCGGACCAAAACTAACGCCAAACTAAACGGACTTGTGCAGCAAAACCAGCAACAACAAGCACCGGGGCCGCTCCGTTTCCACCTAGGAAGTGCTTGAAGTCTCCTCTGAGGGAATGCTTTAGATTCCTAAAGCTGCTAAAGGACAAATTCAGGATGATGGCTCGTCCATCTGCAGAGCCGGTGTTCTGACTATCCGTGCTTCCCCATTAAATATTCCTACCATAGCGTGTTATGACAGTTTTTCTCTTGTTTACAGTATAGTAACAGGCTTATGTAATGGAGGATAAAGAGTTACATTTTAGTTAATGACCAGAGACATTAATGATCCCTATCTGGTAGAGACCCCATCTACTGGACACTGGGCTATTTAAATCAGAAGAGTGGTTCTTTTTATTACAGGGAAATTTAAAATAAACACTTTGCATGAACTGAGAGACAAGAGAAGAGAGAGAGAGACCTCCAAACGTTTAAGCAAATTTATTATCTAAATTATTTTAAACAATTAAAAGGAGTAAGTCTCTAGGGATGGATGCTCATGGAATAGAATGTAAGGTGGAGTGTGTGTTGGTGTGATGTCAGTTCAGAACCTCCGTTCTGGAGAAGCGAGTCTGAGTGGGAGATGATGTTTTGCTCCTAACTGATCAACGTTTGAACCGTGGTCAGAAAACAACATAAGACGCCATCTGTGCCGCTCTACATTACCCGTCATGAGACCTCCGTCTTCGATCAGGCTGCCAGGTGCACGACCTTCCACTGGTACTGGAGCCGATGAAACAACGTCTTCAGCACGACAAGCCAGTCTTTGGATAGTCTCCAGGTAAAAGCGACAGGTGTTTCACAGCGTCAAAGGGACACCCCTTTGGGTCAGCGAGTTCAGCTTTTATTCTGAAGGAACCGTTGTTTTGTTGATAACAACGACAGGATTTCCCAGCTTGGCAGTTCTCAGCTTAAAAGTAAAAAGTACAGATGGCCGGTCCGTTTCCACTTAGCAATGATGAACTTCAGGGGATCTGGAGATCTGGCTGAATACTGAACTCAAAATGGCGTTGGGCTGTTTTATTAATCTTGATGTTTACGATTCTGAACGAATCACAGCTGACAGATTAAATAAACACTACAGAGACTCTGCCACGCTTCAGATGTGAAGGTTCTGATTGGATTTGCGACCAGAATGTGTCATGATTATTTATCTTGTGTATCAGGTGACTAGTGGCTACGTCATTTACTTATTAAAACATTAATCATAACATTGTGATTTCACAGATCGGTCACATGGTTATTATTGACTAACAGTTGTTTTGTTTAGCTTTATTAAAATAGAGTTCTTTGATTAATTAAAAGAAAAGAGTTCATTCTTCGTTCTTCTGTTTTCACTGCTGGAATGTAAACAGTTTAGAAGTGAATGCATGGCCTTGGCTGTTTCATGCACTCTGGCACTGTGTCAAAAGGAAACAGCTGTTAGGGTAGAAATGGCTCTTTCATCACGTTACACTTAATAAGCACGGTTTATTGTAAACATGTGATATTACTCAAAAATAAAGAACTGCAGTATAATTATTAACAAGAATATACAGTGTTTGTCATGATTTATTTATAAAAAAGACTGTGTTTGTCATAATTCCATGAATGACGGTAAACAATGGGACACATTTCCTGTTTACAGTATAATAACGTTAATTTACAATCCATGTACAAGCTAACTGTCAGGTAAACATACAACAAGCAGTAATAGAGCTCCGGACATCACGTGACTCTCAGAGAGTAGACGCCATGTTGGCAGGCAACAAATGTAAACAAATTGAACGGGATCGTCTTGGATTTTACTTTGTCGGAGTTTACTTCACACTTTAAAACCGAAGAAGTCGTTTTATATAGTCATAAATTAAATAGACTAAGCATCTCCGACCCTTACCGTGCCCCTGGGATACTTTTTAAAAACGCCAGAAGCTGTCGGAGCGGATTTCTTACCGGACCTGGCCGGGGAACCCCTTGGGATTCCCCCGGAGGAGCTGGCCCAAGTGGCTGGGGAGAGGTCTGGGACTCTCGACGCTACTGCCCCCGTAACCCGACTCGGATAAGCGGATGAAAATGGATGGATGGATGGATGGACAAATAACAGATTTACATGTAAGTAGTTTAAATAGAGTGCTGTGCTGTTTAAATGTATAAACTGAACGCCAAGAGAAATCACTAGTCTGATTTTTTCCGTGAATAAAATAAATATGTCAGGCAGGAGCGTCTCAGGATCTGTCTGAGATCTGTCTCGGTGAGACAGATGATAGCAATCCAAAGTGCTTTTTATGTGTGATCTGACAATTGATCAACCACTGCTTAAAAATTAAATACAGCTTAGCCGGTTAATTGCTGTGATCATAAAACACGTAAACGGCAGCACGCAGAACTCACGAGGCAACGTTTTACGTGACGTTTACTTGCTGCTATGAGTAATAAGACAGAAAAAGCCACGCCAAAATGAGTTTAGGAAGCCCACTAAGAATCTTAATAAAAGCATTTAAAATAAATACCATACACAGTTGAGGAAACGTTGGTTTAAGTACCTGATATGAAGTGGTCGCTATCATAAGTGAAAACCTTCACAGCTTCATTTCAGCCCGGTCACTAGTGCGTTTTATTACAATGATCCAACGTTTGCGGCGCTCCGGATCTTGGGGAATCCTGTAGATGGCTCATTCCTTATGTCCTCCGCGTCTGTTCTGCATCCTGGGGCACAACAGGAATCTACCACATTTCCCGTTTATTGAGTTTTCTGACAATAACAAATAGTCCAGCTGCAGGCTTCTGCCTGCCAATATGGTGCCGTTTCGATTTGAACTGTTGCATGCCGGGAGAAGTGACGTCAACTCCCGGATCTCTATACAACAACTTCCAAAGATAGAGCGTCGCTTCAGGTAAACAGCCTAGTAATCGGTCTGGGCAAGCACAAGGTCTGGGGGTGTTGGGTTGTAGCTGGATTGTTGGGCCGGGGTGGTGCTGGCGTGGCGGTTCAAGACACAACGCCTACTGAGTACCGCTGCTTTAGTGACTAAAGTGATTCAACAGTAATATTAGAATAATCAGTGAATGGGGGTCATTTAGTAGTGTTATTGTGCATTCTAGTTGTCATCGGAACTCGGAATTTCCAAGCAGGAAATTACATAATGGGCTCGTTTTGCGTTCCAGCTTCCAACTAGGTGGAAAAAATGGATGCCAACAGTGTTGTTGAGTACCAAGCCAAAATAATTATATAAACAAACATCTAAATAATAGTGACACACACGCCCTTCGACAGTTGCCACAAACAACCAGAAAAACATTACAATTCAAATGTATAAATATAAACACTAGGAAAAGTAAAAACCATAAATACCAGTCAATTTTGGTGACGCGTGAAATGTTTCTAGGCTTGAAAACAATTGACTCTATCTTTGTCTCACTTACACTCAAGAAGTCTGCAGCTAACCATTCCGTCACATCAGAATTCCAATTTAACACTTGAATGTCCGCGTCTGGTTCTTTCATTGTCAAGTAAATCTGACAATAATCAACATAGATGTGATAGCTGATGGTGTGAAGCAGAAAAATCTGTCCCAAGGGATGCAGATGAATGGAAAGCAGGAGGGGGCCCAAGACTGAGCCATGAGGCACCCCCACAAGGATAAGTATAACAGAGTTACCTTAAAAGGTAACTCATTAGATTATTAGTCACTGGTAAAAAATAATGTGTTGCCAAAGCGAGCAATATGTTACCCAATGCCGTGTGACAGGGTGAGTGTCACGGTCTCCCGATTGATCATGTGCCCTGGCTACTTGGCCAAGGGGATGTCCATTTGGCTGATTGGTTAGCACATGACTCTCACCCGGGATTCTGGGGATCGTATCCCGCCCGGGCCCTCGTTTCTCCACCTTGCCACAACTGGTTATGTATATTGCTGATTGCACAAACACCACTAGGTATTTTGCCCTGATTTTACGGCTTGTTTTTATTTTATAGACTTCTACTTTTTTCATTACAGTTTCTATAAAGAGTGAGGAAGATGAAGACAAACCACTGTTCTCACAACTTCATCAGCAGCAATTAGAAGACAGAGATGTTCCAACTAGCAGCTCAACTGAGCAGATGGCGGCAAAAACCGATGGAGGAGCAGAAACTGGCATGAACCCAGATCTGAACCTTCATGAACAGATATCCGATTCATCAGAGACTGAAGTCAGTGGAGATGATGAAGAGGATGATGGTGTGAACCTAGACTCTTTCCTGTTAGACGCTGGGCCTGAAACTGGAGACGAAGATATTGGCTGGAATAAGAGCAGGTCTTCTGAGTCAGATGTTAAGGATGTCAACAGACCCTTTAGCTGCCCTGAATGTGGTAAACTATTTCTCCACAAGTGGTCTCTCCAGAAACACGTGAGACTGACAAATCATTCAGCAAGAAGGTCTTTAGGATGTTTGGTTAAGAAAAAGTGTGTTACAGTGAAGCAACATGTAGACTCATGCAGAAAAGTCCAGATAGAAATAATGAGAGTCCACACAGGACAGAAGCCTTTTGCCTGTGAGCTCTGTGGTAAAAAATATAACCGTAAGACACATTTAAGCAGTCACATGAGAGTCCACACAGGACAAAAGCCTTTTGCCTGTGAGCTCTGTGGTAAAAAATTTACCCATGAGGCAAATTCAAACAGTCACAAAGCAGTCCACACAGGACTAAAGCCTTTTACCTGTGAGCTCTGTGGTTTAAAATTTACCTGGAAGGCAACTTTAAGCAAGCACATGAAAATTCACACAGGACTAAAACCTTTTACTTGTGAGCTCTGTGATTTAAGATTTACCCAGAAGACAACTTTAAACAATCACATGAAAGTTCACACAGGACTAAAGCCTTTTACCTGTGAGCTCTGTGGTTTAAGATTGACCCGGAAGACAACTTTAAACGATCACATGAAAGTCCACACAGGACTAAAGCCTTTTGCCTGTGAGCTCTGTGGAAAAAAATTTGCCAGAAAGGACAATTTAAACAGTCACATGAGAGTCCACACAGGACAGAAGCCTTTTGCCTGCGAGCTTTGTGAAAAAAGATTTAGCAGTAAGACACATTTAAACATTCACATGAGAGTCCATACAGGACAAATGCCTTTTACCTGTGAAATCTGTGGTCAAAATTATCGACATATGGAAACTTTAAAAAGTCACTTGAGAGTCCACACAGGACAGAAGCCTTTTGCCTGTGAGCTCTGTGGAAAAAAGTTTGCCAAAAAGGTCTATTTAAACAGTCACATGACTGTCCACACAGGAGAAAAGCCTTTTGCCTGTGTGCCCTGTGGAAAAAGATTTACCCAGAAGACAACTTTAAACAATCACATGAGAGTCCACACAGGACAGAAGCCTTTTACCTGTGAGCTCTGTGGTTTAAGATTGACCCAGAAGACAGCTTTAAACAATCACATGAAAGTCCACACAGGACAGAAGCCTTTTGCCTGTGAAATCTTTGGTTGAAATTTTCGACATAAGGGAGCTTTAAACAGTCACATGACTGTCCACACAGGAGAAAAGCATTTTGCCTGTGTGCCCTGTGGAAAAAGATTTACCCGTAAGACAACTTTAAACAATCACATGAGAGTCCACACAGGACAGAAGCCTTTTGCCTGTGAACTATGTGGTGAAAGATTTCACCAAAAGGTAACTTTAAACCGTCACATGAGAGTCCACACAGGACAGAAGCCTTTTGCCTGTGAAATCTGTGGTCGAAATTTTCGACTCAAGGGAACGTTAAACAGTCACATGACTGTCCACACAGGAGAAAAGCCTTTTGCCTGTGAGCCCTGTGGAAAAAGATTTACCAGTAAGACAACTTTAAACCATCACATGAGAGTTCACACAGGACAGAAGCCTTTTGCCTGTGAACTCTGTGGTGAAAGATTTCACCAAAAGGTAACTTTAAACCGTCACATGAGAGTCCACACAGGATGGAAACCTTTTTCCTGTAAGATTTATGGCCAAGGATTTAGCCGTAAAGCAATTTTTGCCGATCACATGAGTGCCCACATGAGACCGAAGGAACTCACTATACAAGTTCCAGAAATGATCAATGTAGTTTGTGCATTGTAGCTCATTTGAGTGGAGAGGATGCAGAGTGCTGATCATTGATGCGCTCCACAGGCAGCTGTGTCCTGCGCACAGCCACAGTAACATTCTCAAAGTGGCGCCATCACAGGATATAACTGTTCATGTCCGCTCTGTTCTGGTTCTGCTGGACCTGACTGCAGCCTTTGACACTGTTTACCATCACCTGCTACTGGAGAGGCTGGGAGACTGGGTAGGCCTATCAGGAACTGCTCTGGAGTGGTTCTCCTCTTCTCTTTCTGATTACTCCTTTTCTGTGGCCGTCTCCAAGTTTAGGTCCTCCACCAACTCTCTTACCCATGGTGTCCCACAAGTTTCTGTGCTTGGGCCTCTGCTCTTCCTCATCTATCTGCTTCCTCTTCAGCACATCCTGAGCTCCTTCAAAGGGATCTCCTACCATCTTTATGCAGATGACTTCCAACTTTAAGCCCCATGAGATGTCTAAGCTGCAGCTGTTACACACCTGCCATCAAAACCTGTATGGCTGGGAGCTTTCTTCAGCTGAATGAAGATAAGACTGAGATCCTCATCTGTGCCCCAAACAAGCTGGTTCCCAAAGTCAGAGACTCTCTTGGTCAGCTTGCTTCCCACACCAAACCTTCCGTCAGGAATCTTGGCGTGACCTTTGACCCAGCTCTCACCCTGGATTCTCATGTCAGTTCTGTTGTTCGCTCCTCCTTCTTCCATCTCAGGAACACTGCTAGGCTGAGTCCCATTCTGTCCCACTCTGAACTTGAGACAGTTCTCCACACCTTCATCTCCTCACGCTTAGACTACTGTAACTCTCTTTTCACGTGTCTGAGCAAAACCTCCCTGAACCGTCTACAGGTGGTTCAGAATGCCTGTGCTCGGCTTCTGACCAAGTCCTCCAAACACAGCCACATCACCCCGCTTCTCCTCCTGCTTCACTGGCTGCCAGTCAACTTCAGGGTTCATTTCAAGATCCTGGTTCTGGTCTATAGGGCCTTACATGGGCAAGCACCATCTTACATTGGTGATCTTCTTAGTCCCTACACCCCCAGCAGGTCCCTGAGGTCCAGTGACCAAAGCCTACTGGTTGTGCAGCACCAGGATAAAGACCAAAGGTGACAGATCTATTACTGCAGTGGCCCCCAGACTCTGGAACTCTCTCCCCCTGAGCCTGAGAACAGTGGACTCAGTGGTCTCCTTTAAAAAGCAGCTGAAGACTCACTTGTTCAAGCTGGCTTTTGTATGACCTTCTTCACCTCTCTCTCTTTATTCTGCTCTCCCCACCTATTCCACCTTCCTCAGAATCCACTGATTTCCCTCTTTCCTATTCACTCTCTCCTTTACATTTTTTATCACAATTATCAATTTTGTTTCCGATTTTAAATATATTTTTAATTTTCTAAATTCTTTTTTATATTTTTTGTTTTTGTGAAGCGCTTCGTGATTTTTTTCTTGAGAGGCGCTATAGAAAAGATCTTTCTTATATTATCTCTGGTACTTTGTCTTTTATTCGTGCCTGACGTGCTCTGCTGCAGTTCAGATCATCTTTAAAACTCAGTCCCATACCCAGTGCTGTATAAAGGCATTTTGGGGTCCAAAGCAAAGTAAACCTTCCTCTCACAGGGCTCCTCTGGAAGTAGGGATGGGTACCTTTGACATTTGAATCGATATGGTACCAATTCCCGGTACCTACAAATCGATGCCGGTACCTAACGGTACCAATATTCGATACTTTTCAGTGTTTAATAATTATTTAAATCTCTTTTGGTTTGTTGTACCTTGTACAGCGCTTTGGGTGTAGCTTTGCTGCTGTAAATGCGCTCTATAAATAAAATTGTCCTTGTCCTTTTATTATATACACTCACCCAAAGACTAGTTAGGAACACCATACTAATACAGTGTTTGACCCCCTTTCTCCTTCAGAACTGCCGTAATTCTACGTGGCATTGATTCAACAAGGTGCTGAAAGCATTCTTTAGAAATGTTGGCCATATTGCTAGGATACATGGGCTCGTCCAACTGTGGACCCACCACCCGCAGGAGGAACATGAAGGGTCCGGTGCAATGCGAATCGGGTGGCAGACCAAGGCGGGAGCCTTGGCGGTCCAATCCCCGGACAAGAAAACTAGTTTTTGGGACATGGAACGTCACCTCGCTGGCGGGGAAGGAGCCGGAGCTTGTGGCAGAGGTTGAGCGCTGGGACGTAATTTTGGGGGGGGACGGGTGGGACATGTCCCCCCCACTTTTTCAAAAGGCAGTTTTGGTCCCCTGCACTTTTTTCCGTCCAAAAACAATGTTACGCTCCATTAAATGGATTTGGTTGAGCACTAGGACCGAAACGGAAACCGGTTTACTATTAGACCCGCCCAAAAGCTAATCTATTGGCTCTGCTGATACTTGCTAACGTATTATTGGCTGTTGCTGCTGTCACTCAAGTTGGAAACAGTCCGAACGTGCTCACGTTGTTTTGCTAGTTTGGAGCCGCTAGGGAACCCCGGTACTGAGTCACATCGTCAACTAGACGCTGTGTAATATCAGCTCAGCTCAGCTTCCATTACATAACATTTGAACAACTGTTCATTTGTGAGTCTTTGGTAGTTAGGCACAGCCAGGAGGCAGCATGTCAAGAAAACGAAAAGTGGATAAGAGACTTCTTTCAAAGTCAAAACGTAAGTTGGACATGTGACACCCCTGCATTAAGCTCAGACTCACCTCCTCCTTCACAAACATACTCAAAACTAACTTTTACAAACTCATCTCCTCCACATAACTGACTCCCCAGACACAATTTATTCGTATTATTATAATTATTGTTTTATTATTATTACTATTATCATCATAATTATTATTACTAGTAGTAGTAGAAGTGTAACTTCAAAACTTTTATCATTTAACTTTATTGTAAACTTATCTATTGCAATGTATATGTTCACATTAAAAAGCTCTGAAAAATGAACAGTATCATCGTCAACAGATTTTTTTAAGCTTAATGTCAAAGATGTACACTTTTCATTAGATTTATCTTATTTTTTCCATTTATTTTTTGTGTGTTGAAATGCAACAACTGTTTAAACACTTTTAAGGGAAAAACATATTTAATATGTTTTTATACACTCAAATGTTAGGGTGATGATCATGTGTAAAACATTAGTTCAGCATGTCCTCTAACACAGCAAATGAACAAACGGCCAGATCTCAGGAGGGACCGTTTATGTATAAATAATTTTTATACTTTTGACTAGGCCTGGGAAAGTAACAAATTTTGCTGGACGATATTTTGTCCAACAAATTGTTGATGATAAACGATATTGTCAACATTATCTAGACCAAAATAACCACTAATATAATGTTAATATATCATAATAATGCAAGTACACCCTTTAAAATGCAACAAATAAACCTTCATTTAACATTGAAATGTCCAGAACCATAACTTCTAATTGAATAAAAATAACAAACAAAAATTGAATAAAAAAGGAATCTCACTCCCTGTTAGAAAATGTTGCACCAAAAACAATAAAAAAGACCCAAAACAATAAATACAATGGCCTATCCATTGTCAACAGCCAAAACTGCACTTCAATAATGATAATAAATAAAAATAATAATAGAGTTGTACATTTTTTAACTTTGATATATATATATATATATATATATATATATATATATATATATATATATATATATATATATATATATATATATATATATATATATGAGGATGGAAAAATTATTGAGATGGGCACGTGACGTGTCAAGGGGTCTTTACATAACACCCCCCACCCCAAATCCGCACAAGCCTGCTGTGTCCCCCCCACTTCTGAAATCAAAATTTCGTCCCTGGTTGAGCGGTACCGGCTAGATATAGTCAGACTCACCTCGACACATTGCATTGGCTCTGGAACCCGAGACCTGGAGAGGGGTTGGACACTCTACTTTGCTGGAGTTGCTCCGGGTGAGAGGCGGAGGGCTGGGGTTGGCTTTTTGTTAGCCCCGAGACTCTCTGCCTGTGTGTTGGGGTTTACCCCGGGGGACAAGAGGGTAGCTTCCTTGCGCCTTCGGGTCGGGGAACGGGTCCTGACTGTTGTTTGTGCTAATGGGCCAAATATCAGTTCAGAGTACCCACCCTTTTTGGAGTCCCTAGGACGAGTGCTAGATAGTGCTCCATCAGGGGACTCCATTGTCCTGCTGGGGGACTTCAATGCTCACGTGGGCAATGACAGCTTGACCTGGAGGGGTGTGATTGGGAGGAACGGCCCACCTAATCTGAACTCGAGCGGTGTTTTGTTATTGGACTTCTGTGCAAGCCGCAGTTTGGCCATAACGAACACCATGTTCGAACATAAGGATGCCCACCGGTACACTTGGTACCAGGGCAGCCTAGGTCACAGGTCGATGATAGATTTTGTAGTCGTATCATCTGACCTGCGGCCGTATGTTTTGGACACCCGAGTGAAGAGAGGGGCGGAGCTGTCAACTCATCACCACCTGGTGGTGAGTTGGATCAGATGGCAAGGGAACATGCC